GTTACACTTTGAGCAAAGAGGTTTTAAAAACAGCAGATGTCTAACTCCATGGTTAAAAGGTTCAAGTGAACCTTTCATCGTCCAGTTTAGTATTTCTTTAGAACTACATGCGGCTGTTATCTGATCAGACGGATGAATTCTGGTGGAAGACCCAAATATTGCTTCATCTTTTTTAAAAAGAACATTCAATTAATAGTTTAGAGCGCTAAAGGACACATCTGTCTGTATAGACGATCTTTGTGTGGAAGAAGATGGCGTCGCATGAGGGAATTGCGGCTCTGGTAGGACTTTGATAACAAACTGATTAGTTTCTGTGTAGCTGCGTTTACCGAAGGGTCTGAGAGCCGCTGCTGCCCGGGAAGCAGAGCCTGTCTGAGGGGGAAACACAGCTGAGACTTAGCGAAGGACCGGGAGACAGTTAGTGATTCCACGTGTTTCCACGACAGAGATGTGAGGAAAACATATCAGGATCTCCTCCTAGAGAGGATCCTGACCACAGCCTAAACATGCCAGGGTTCTGGTCCAATCACTAATCAGTTCACAGAGAAGTCACTCAGATGTTAGAGCAGATGCTTTGATAGAAATGCAGCAAACAGAATGATGGCATCACAGTCATATTGATGTGGAAATGAAATGGCAGATAAAGCTGCAAAGGAGGCAACAGCAAGAGAAACCATGGATGTGTCAGTTAAAATGAGTAAGATTGAAACAAAGAACTCTATTAAACAGAAGCTGAAGGAAAGGTGGCAAAAGCAACGGAAAGAAGAGAGGAAAGGACAGTTTGACACGATTCAGAGGAGAGAGGGAGAAATGAGATGTGCAGGAAGGAACAGAAGAGAAGAAACTATTATATCAAGACTTAGAGGATTAAACAATACTTTATTCAACACAGGTAAACAGAACAGCGGTAGGTGACAATGGAACATGTTATGGTTCGCTGTAAGAAGTATGAAAGAAAAAGGAGAGAAATTATTCAAAATCCTAAAAAGGAAAGAATACACTTTGATTTAATAGAAATAGAACGCAAGAGATAAGTGTTTTTCATTATCTTAGTTTAATCAATGTAATTGAGAGGATTTGACTCTAATTTTATTTTTGTTGATTTTATTGTGATTTGTTTTTTCAGTATAAATAAGCAGTAGCCATTCAGATCCACACTCCATACCAGTTGGTGGCGGTAATGCTCCATTACGTTGCTTAAAAACCGCCAGTAAAATCCCATAAAGAAGAATAAAAGGGTGGAGGCAGTATTTTGATGAGAAACAACCTCCTCATGGTTTAAACCATGGAGTGTACGATGGTGCATTAGGAGCATTCAAAGACGAAAAACAAAGAATGGAATTTAAACATTTGAGTTGAAAGTTGAATTAACTTACAGTTACGGCTAAAAACACCCAATTTTACGAGATTAAAAACATGCAAAATTCACAACACGTCATCTCAAGGCACTTTACAGTTCACCAGATCATCCAGTCAGATTGATTCAAAGTTTTCTATCTATGGAAAACCAGCAGCAACTCTTCCGCAATCCCTCACACTAAGCATGCTTGTAGCGACAGTGGAGAGGAAAAACTCCCTTTGAACAGGAAAAAACCTCCAGCAGAACCAGGCTCAGTGTGAGCGACCATCTGCTGAGGCCCACTGGGGTTCAAGGAGACAGAAGCAGAGATAGAAAAAGAAGCAAAGATACAAAAAGAAACTGTAAAAGGCGGCCCCGTCCAGGAAACACACAGCAAAGCAAATAGCTCCCATGTCAGAGGATAAAAAAGAGCACA